AACAGACTACATATAAAATGATCGGCAAAAATTCTCGCGTACAGTACGTACAGTACGTACGTACGTACGTATAGTACGTACAGTACTGTACGCGGCACATCACTAATCACGTGATGTTCGAAATTTTTTTGGGTGGCGATTTTACCCCGGTTTCTTACACAGAGCCATCATGATCTACAACTGCTGAAGAGGCTGTCGCATGCTTATTTAATTTCTGCCTATTATACGGTCCACCTGTAATACTTCACTCTGATAATAGTGGTGAATTTGTGGGGCAGGTTGTCAAGAAACACTAAACTTGTGGCCAAATATTAAAATAGTTCACGGATGGCCCCGAACTCCACGTTGTCAGGGATTAGTTGAAAAGGGAAATGATATTCTTCAGTCCAAGTTGGGAGCCTGGATGGAGGAAATGAATCGAAGTGATTGGAGTATATCGGTTTAAAGTTTGTTGTTTGTAAGCAATTTAATTATTTTATTTGTGAAACTTTACTGTATTATGTATATAGTGGGTTTTTAAAAAATTTATTTTTTTAGGAGCTATGAATAGTCAATATAGTACTGCATATAAGTCAGTTCCCTATAAACTAGTATTTGGACAACTTCCGCACTGTGACACAAATTTAGTTAATTTACTTGAAAATAATAATTATCTTCACACATCAGATGAAGAGTCGAGTTCATCATCAGACAGTTTAACTCTGTCTTCTGAAACAGATTCTCAACTAACCATTATATCAGAATTTAATAATAATATAAAAAACTCTGAAATTGATCCATTTTATTTTGAAGAAACATGACGTGATAGTGATGTGAATTGTGATATATACGAAATGCAGAAAATAATTGGTGATGCGGATGGAACACGAAAAATAAATGATGTGAATCAAGCGCAAGAAATAAATCATGATGCAAATGATGTGCAAGAAATAAATCACGATGCAAATGATAAATCACGATGCAAATGATGTGCAAGAAATAAATCATGATGCGAATGATGTACAAGAAATGAACCATGGTACAAATGAAGTACAAGATATGAATTGCGATGTGGATAAATTACAAGAAATAAGCTGTGATATAGATATGCAAGAGGATTTTTCCCAAGATTATTCCGCTCAAATTATCACAATTGAAGATTCTGATGATGATTCTAGTAAATGTCGATATTATACTGTGCAAGAAAAAGAGAAATGGTGAACATATTCTAATATTGTTGAAAATAGAACTGATTCCATTGAATATAAAACTGAAGTATAAACATATATATTATTTATTTAAAAAAAAATTAAAAAAATAAAACAAAAATTAAAAAATTTATATATACTACATTTTATAGCAACGAGTACCGTTAAGTAATATATCAAATATAACTCGTCCAACATTTGAAAAGCATAAAATGGTCCGTAATTCAGCCATTTTAAATATTAAACGAATTGTAACCTTATTCAAACTAGAATGCAACAAAAATATAGAACAAAACGCAGCCGAACCTTTAAGCCTGGTGAATTAGTAAAAATTCATAAATGGACCATCGATCTTTATCTTGCAAAATCATCCAAAAACAGCCCAATCGTGACTCATATCAAGTTGCTTGCCAATTTGGGATATTAGAAAATTGGTATTCAGCAAATGATTTCGAACCACTAGAAACTTCAAATTATCCTCTACTTGACGTGGTCCCCTTAGATAGCATGATTTCATTGAGACAAGCCGGATTTAAACAAAGGTTTTCTCGATCTTCAAAACAAAATACTGAAGACCTTAGTGAAGACAGAAAAGTGAATTTACATGTCGAAAGGTAAAAAAAATTATAAATACGTGTAAGCAATTTATCAAATAATAATTAATTATATGCTTTTATATATGGGAAGCCAACTACTCGAAGATTCCTTGAATGACGCAAATGAAATGAACATTTTTTCCAACCGAAAAAAAGCCATTCCAACGAAAATAGCTCAAAAAAATCAACCTAATTGTTGTCGTTGCCAAAAGACAAATTGCAGCTCTAAATCGTGTTCTTGTCGAAGGAATAATTTACTGTGTACAAGAAGATGTGGTTGCGTTTTACATAATGAAGCAAAAATAGATAATTTTTTTATTTTTACTTCAAATTTATGTAACAGAGCATTTATGATAAGGCCATAAGCATTTATGATAAGGATTTAAACATTTATGATAAGGCTATAAGATTGTAACGATAATATGCATAAAGAAATTTATTTATGTTTGTCGCCACATAAAGGGTTAAAAAAAAAAAAATTAAAAATAAAAAATAAAAATAATAATATCTGCAATAAATTTTCACCGATTATGAAATAATGTACGTTACTTTTAAATTTTTAAATGATATATGTCACTTTCAAAGCGACGGAAATTGAAAAATGACGAAGAACATTATCAGTTACACCGCTCTAAAAAATCATGTCAGTCCCATAATGTAGATCGCTTTTGCTTGTTTGATCAACAACAATGGGCTCTAAATGATTACCTCTTCTAATTAACAGTTTCAACTTAGAATTGGACCTAAAAGTTACAAATTTGCTGGACACCATGCATAAATAATTTTCTTAAACTACATACAATTAGTTTTACGATAAATATGTAAATTCCGGGTCTAGCCTTTTCTAGTTTCATACTGATAGAAATCTAACATGAAGATAAATTATTCTATTAGTATTTCCATTTTTGACCGATTTTTATCAATTGAATTTGTATTATTTCGGGAAGGAATGAAGGTTTTGAAAGTTTATTATTAATACGCACTAATTTTTAAATTTTAAAATAGATAATGGATTAGTACATAGCCATTACATTTATTATATTTTGTAAGTTACCGATAGGTATAAATACAATATAGTTTTATAATGCCTTATGATTTAACTGATTTAAAAGTTAATGAAGTTAAACCATCTGAACAAGTAAAATGCCTTTTCAAGGAAGCCTTAGAAATTAAAGACTTTGCTACATACCGGTAGATTAACAAAAAAAAAAAAAATCCGACCCCGATCGAAATTTCGAATGTCATTTAATGCAAACCGAAAAATCATCTTTGTATAGCCTTAGTACTGTTGAATGTTTAAAACTTTGAGCGAAGTTTTCTGATCGAATTCGATAAAAATTTTTATTTTAATCATGTGAATGTGGAGAACTAAATTTCATTCAATTTGGTTAGGAAGTTATCGAGAAAACTTCTCTCAAAGTTTTAAAAAATTCCAATTTACTGATAGCCAAATCAGTTCTTTCTAAAATTAAGCAAAGTTTCTCGATAACTACCTGACAAAATTCGATGATTTTTTTTTTTATTTTAATCCTACATATTCATAAAATTAAAATTAAAATTTGGTTAAGCATGCTTGGATCGTCAATGAACATTACGTAATCTGTTGCGCAAATAGATAATCTGCTAGTATCTAACCCTAATATAACCCTAACATCAAAGAATTTTTCGTTATTGTAAATCTGCGCCACAAACCTAGCGCACACCAATTCTGCAATTTGATTGGCTGATTTCCGAACATCTGTCATGTGATTTTTTCAAATCCGATAACCTTCCAACAGTATATAAGTTTATGTGGCCTTATATAGAAGTATGTTAATTATTTTAGTTACTAATGGGATATGTCTACAGTTTTTGTGTAATTCTCTAGAAAATTTCAAACAATTCTGATTCTTCAAGACAATAATATATTTGTTTTTTTTTGGCTCTGTACCTCCGAGAAAAAAAAATAAAAGTACCTATAGAAGATACACATATTAAACTTTACTTATAATGTTGAGGGATAACGATCCTACTAACTGTCAGAAACAAAACTAATCTTCAATCTTGACATTATTCTAGTGAACATTAGCTCACAGCAGTGAAATTTTCCTCAAGTCTTCGAACTCACATGCATTTATCGTTTTAGATAGAAAACTAACAAGTATTACAGTGACATGGAGATAGAGATAGTACAGCGGTATAAAAATATGACATTACAATAATACTAATATGTTTTACAACCTTACAACTTTCACAACTTAATTATATCATAGTGAGTAATTCAGTATTAATCGTTGACAGTATCATTTCTAAATGCATTATGGATACTATTCATGAGTCTACAATCTCATTGGTGAAAAAAAGGGTACATTATATGTAAGGTATTACTGCATTTTAAGGATACAATATGTATATATCCCTATAGGGTCAGGTCAGTAAGTATAATTTATCAATTATAAATAATTAGAACTTCGGATATAGCAATAACTTATTAATGCATCCGTTCCTGGTTTTAATGCAACTGCGTTGCGCGATTATAGATTTTGTACTGTTCTCATGTGAACAGTATTTGTGCCTTAAACTTCGAACATTGTGTGTGTAATTTTCAATAACGCATAACATATATATATATGAAACATTTTATACATATTTGAGAAGTTTAAAATTAAAAAGGTAGCGCAATTCGAAAATAGGCGAGAGTATTAAAAAATCTTATTTATATTTCAAAATTTCGGGAAATGAAATGGGAGTGTTTGAAATTCCCACTTCATAAAATTAGTAAGCTTTTCAATAACAAAGATAGTTAGTTCAAATCTATCAAAAATTGATGCAAACTAAAATAAACGTCTTCTATTTCAAATCAAAATTGGATTCCTACATTTTAATTCTGAAATTCTCATTTTAAAATATTTTAATAGCGACCCATAAATCTAATACCATATTGCATGATTTGGCTTGCTGGTGTAGCTATGCTAGTGCCTCTAATAACTTTTGCACGCACCACAATACCAACTGCATATGCATAAGGTAATGAATAACGACTTGAAAAGTCTACATAATGGAATACAGGACCACCACTATCACCACCAGCAGCAAACAGCAGCATTTTGAGGACTCCGTAAAGTGTGTATTCTCGATTTGTAGACACACCATCGATTGCAGTCAATTCCCCGCAAGTTGTACCAGTTGTTTGACCAGATTTACATACATGAGATCCCTCAGTATTCATAAATAAAACTTCTTCTATAAATATCTCAGGGTAAAGCGCAGTTTCATAGTTCCTTATTCTTGGTACTGGTATGATTCCTGGATTCTCATATGAAATTAATCCAAAATCAGTTATGTTAGAATGATAATAATGCATCGGACCGATTATGGTATTTGAACTTGAATAATAATTCACAGTTCTAGATCTGTTACTAAGAATTCTAGTTCCATGACCTGCAGTTAATAAATAACTCTGATTGGAATCATCTAATACCCAAAAACCCGCACTACCAGTAACTCTCTCATGACCATTTTTACCGTAAATTCTGTCGCCGCCTAATATAACTTCGTGTATTTGTCTTTTTCGAATAGATGATTTAGATGCTGTTTCTTCCTTTTCTTCTTCCGCTTCTTCATTTCCTCCGTTTTCATCATTTGGTGGATAACTTATAATCGGATTGAAAAATTTAACGCTGTCAATAAATTCTTTGTTCTTTTGATCGTTCTTATGATATAAAGAAATTACGACGTTATTAAATTTATGTTCAATGCTAATAATGACATTATCTGGTTTGAGTTTTCGAACTAATTTAACTATTTGATTAAATGTGGATTTTAGATAAGATCTAGTATTGTTTGCTTCTTTAAATTCTAAAAATTTTTTAAATGGTTTTATTTTAGGTGAATTTATAACTTTTTTGATTTTAGTTGAGTCAACTGTATTAATGTATATTTTATTCGCCTTTACATCTATGTATGTTCCTCCAAAATCTGAATCACCTAATAATGGTTTTAATTTACCATCTAAAGCAATTAATTGACTTTCGATATTTAATAACTTTGGTACTTGATCATTTGTTACTCCCCAAAATTTCGCTAATGCATCGTACTGTGCATTAATCGTTAAGCAATTTTGTAAAATAAAAACAAATAAAATTAATGATAAGTTACTAAGTGTCATCTTAGGGTGAATATAATGATTTTTCATGACAAGGCTGTTTTTTAATGAAAAGATTTGAAATATTTCTTAACAGACAGGAGAAATTTTATAAATGTCATTTTTCGGCTAGATTTATAGGTATTCGCAGATTTACTGAAGTTAAAATTATTTAGGCATCATTTTTGGTCAAGATTACAGCTATCATAATTAATGGGACAACTGATAAATAAACTTCATTAAATGATCTTTGTTTAAATTTTCAGGATGTTCTATAGAATGGGTGGGCAAACTCCGCAAACTCCACAACTCCGATATTAAAAATAATCATTAGCGAAGCTTATTTCTTATATTGCCCACCTATTCTATAGAATATCCAATTTTCAATTGTCCGAATTAGTAAAAACTTCCGAAATATTTGTTTTTTTTTCAAACTGTAAAAAGATTTTTCAGAGAAACGTTAAAATTGCAGTAGCCCTGATTGCATACAGAATGGTCTTATTTTAAACCTTAATTTGGTCAGGCGAAGTTTCAGATCTTATGAAATGGTAAATCCTTAGTCAGCTGAAGTCTTGAATGACTCTCAAATAGCCAGTGATGGTGTTATGATAATGATTTTACAATTTATAATCTCTAAAAACGCTTTCATTTCTAAGGATGGTAAAAATGCAGTTTCAAACGTTTTTTCGCTTATTTAAAACAGGTGATGATTAAAATTCGAATAGTTAAATCTGGATTTAAATATACTGAATTTAATATATAATCGTCATCTGTTCTTCAAACTCTGCTTATTTCTCAATGGTGATAGAAAATTGTAACTTGTAAAGCTATAAGTACTACGAATAAAAAAAAGTACATAACACTAAAAGAATTATTTTATTATGTCATTGCAAATACGTATTCATTTAATAAGCGATTAATCTGTTTTATGATTGTATGTAAGCATTAAGAACTGACCAAAGTCATTTTTCAATCAGTGAAATTGAAAAATGACATGCGTCGATAAATAACGCATAACATGTGTTTATTTATACATATGAAATTGTTAGATCTGCATTACGGCTGTTGTGACGTCCAGTGGGAGAGACTTAGTTATATTGTTATTAATTTAGTTCACGGACGTCAACATAAAAAGGAAGAGAACAAGTATTTATTGTCTCCTTTTGGGTATTCAAAGTAATAAACCAATATATTATTTGTGCCCCAGACACTGCCAATACTATTATCTCTTTCCACAAACCAACTTAGCAAGTTCCAAACTTACTAGAACCTAAACGAAAATAACCAAAGAC